AGAGGTTGACAGAAAATGAGAGTTAGAAAGTTGAATGTGTAAGGTTTTTCTTTATCCAAAGGTTTTGTTTGTGTGTGTATTGTTTTTTAGATTGTCTAGTATTCAAGCAGTTTATTGAAGAACACTAGTGAAGATTAAAACAATCTTGATTTGAGATTGAATAATGTTGTTTTTTATCAGTCAGTAAAGTGATTTCTTGTTTCCTTTCTAGCAAAAGATGTAGTGAGATCTGTTTTAAGTTGGGGATCTTTCATTTCACTACATGAACTGTTGTTGTATAAGTTGTATTAAAAATAAATAAAATTGTACAAACTAGGGCAAACGCCCAAACAAAAGGAATCAAACCACAAAGCTTAAAGGCTCTATTTTTTAGTACAATGCCCACAAGACCAACCCATTTGAAAAGAAACAAAACCCAAAAGCAAATTCAAAGGCACTAACAAAAGCTAAAAATCGACATGTAACAGTTAGGCCATCAAACGAAAATTCCGCTAAACAAGGCTTCGTCGATCATGTGCCACCAACCAAACGCCCAAAAGAGCGTGAGTATCACCATTCCTCCTCCAAAACCGCCATGGCTACATGAAATTGGAAGAAAAAAATAATGGATCAACCCATCAAGGGAAAAAAAATTAAGATCAAGAGCAAAAAAAATAAAAAATAAAAAATAAATAAGAGAGCAATAGTCAAATTGTTCATAAATTTGTAATCATTGCTTATGAAAAAATCCCCCTAAATTGAAAAGAAAAAAATTAAAAGAACAAAAAAAATTAAAAAAAGCTTATTCACGAACCCTAAAAAATTGGTATCCTTTGAACCCATGAAAAAAGCTTATTCAGTAATTATTCCATACTTCATTGTCAATTTGTTCTTTTAACCTAGCAATGCGATCTTAGTTATTTTCGATTAAAATTTAAGCATCATTCGGAAACTAATTTAAGGATTGTCCAATACGTATCTATAGTACAGGGAATCAATTGGCATTTTGGAAGCATATGATAGATTAATGGCATGAGAAGGAGTTTCCAATTTACATTAAAAATTATTTATGGAAAAAAAAATTTTACATTGAAAATTGATAAATAAGGTTTAGTTTGATATACATGTGCAAGTAGTACCATGAATTGCTATACATGTAGTGTTAAAGTTCTTGCTAATGATGATCTAAATTGGAGAAACTGTGAAGTGGTAAATGGGGTGTGTGTGTGTGTGTTATGTGCACTTGACATGGCCCCGCCAAAATGTTTCTGCATAATTATTTCAACTACCAAAAAAATTAAAAAATAAGTTGAGTAATAGAAATAGTTTTTTGAGATATTTTAAAATTTTGAATGTTGATTTTCTGATACCATAAACTATTTCCAAAATTGGGATGATGAGATTGGATATTTAATTATATTTGTGACATAAAATTTGAATGAAATTGTAATGCGTGAAAATGTAAATGGGAATAAAAACGAGAAAATTGTCAGAATCAGAATTTGGAGATTTTTCTTATTAAGCAATATATGCTTTCTGTTTGAGATTCCATTATGCACGAAGTGTGGAATAATGGGTCCATGAAAAAAAATTAAGAAAGTAAAAAAATAAAATAAATGAGAGAGCAACAGTCAGGCCATCAAGGGAAAAAAAAATTAAGAGAGCAAAAATAAAAATAAATAAATAAATCAAAGTGCAAAAAGAAGAAAGAGAAAGAGAGAGGGACCTGGATCAGGTAGCCTTGGAGTCCGATTTTGGAGAATGAATATGGTAGTTGTATTGTGGCTGTAGTGGTGAAGATGGTGGTTATGATGGTATGGATATGGCAGTAGTGGTTGAGATTGCAAGGAAGATAGAAGAGATTAAGGAGGAGATAGATACATTGAATAAAAGTATTGGCTAACTATGATAAATTGAATATTAAGGTAACAAATATTAACTATGGTTAAGTCTGATAAAGTAATAAAGTGTAATTGACTATTTAACTTTTGGTCCGCTGAAAAATCAGTTCTTTTAGACTGCATGTGAGCCTTCCTGTGTGTGTGTGTGTGTGTATATATATATATATTGTGCGTATATATATATATATATATATATATATATATATATATATATATATATATTAGAGAAAGAAAAATTATTTAGAATTCTGCACAGGATTAAATTTTGGACGAGAGTTCATAAATCTTGGAACTTTTCAGACTATAAAATCAAATAGGAGTCAATAGTATTTTTTCCTGCAACTCCTCAATCTTTTTGTTCTTCCTCTGTTGAATCGTTTTTCAACAACATTTTTTTAAATAAAGTTATGTGAAATTTTGCTCAGCATTATTTTTTTATTTTTTGGATAGAGAACGAAGGAAGAAGATGATACAAAAATAGAAAGATAAAAGTTTGCCGTGAAATTCAGAAATGGAAATAGGTTAAATAATGGACAATATAGGAATTTTATATTTATTACTTACAAAAGTGTGTAACTTGTGGAAAGTCAATTAGGAAGTATGTTTTATTGGTTTTGGTCAATCGGGCTTCTAAACCACCTAGACTTTTTAAAAGTCCATTTTTAGAAATTTTACCAAACACTCTTTATTATTGGCAAAGGGCTTTCTTGGCTTAGAAGCCCATTTTGAGGCTACATGAAGCTTAGCCAAACATGCCATAGTATTTTGACACTGTAGCTCCTCTCAAAATTTAAATTTCGTATGAAAATAGGGGAAAGTGCAAAAAATATCCTTGAAGTATACTTTTCGTCAAGGTTGTTAAAATTGGAATTCTACCTAGAATCGTTTTGGATTCCGTAGAATCGGAATCGTTGAATCCGATCGTAAATCGTAAGATTTTACCAAATTAATAAAAATACAATTCAAACTAACTTTCTCAACAAAAAATTATCTTCAAAATAAATAAAAAGTAGTCAAAAACACAAATATATATATATATATATATATATATATATATATATAAATAAGTTCATATAAAATTATCAACAGATTCTTTTAAAATTTACAATAGATTCATTTAAAATTTAATTAATTTATTTAATTTTTGGAATGAAAGAACAAATTTTATATAAATGTAAATATTACATTGGGCTTCAAAAACTTAAAGTTTGCAAAGCCCATTTGGCCCAGCTGTACAATAGAACAAATACAGCACAAGAAAAGTAAAAGGCCCAAGACCAATCTTTTTTAGGCAAGTCTAACCTAGGTCAACAACTTGCCACCATCTGAAGAGAGCGAAATTTCCCTAGCGGCAGACAAAGAGAGCAAAATTCCCCTGTTGCAATTCCCCGGCGGCAACGGTAGCGGTAGCTCCTCTCATTTTTTTTAGGTAAGCTCTCTTAGCCTCTTGTTCCCTCTTTCCTCCTCCTCTGCTTATTCTTCACCAAAACCCTAGCATTCTTTTTGCCCTCTGCATCTCATATTTTCTCGGAGCTGTGCTGAAGGCCTCGAAAGAGAAGGAATTGTTGCACTGTGGTAATTGATTTAGGATATCTTCACAATTCTTAAATCCAAAACAAGACCACAATCATGGATAATTCAGAATCGTTGGGATCGTATAGAATCGTAAGATTCCACGATTCTATGTACGATCCCGGCGATTCAACTCATGATTCTGCACAAGTCACGATTTGCGATTTGGATCGATTTGGGTATGTTGGATTGCAAAATCGCACGATTCTACGAGTCTGAATCGCGATTTTAACAACCATGCTTTTCGTAGCACTTTTACCCCCTATTTAAAAAGGTGTGCAAAAAACACCCTTATTCTTTTCAAATTGTGCGAAAACACCCCTCAATTAAAAATTTGATATAAATTAGCACTATAACGTCAATTTTACCCTTTTACTCTTCCAAAAATGCCCATACCAAACTTTGAACTGGTTCATTCTCAAGCTAGTTTAGGATAAGGAAATTCCTGCAACCAAATGTCCTTTTTCTCCTACCCCTTTCTTCACAGAAGGCCACTGTAATGGAACACAAAAAAAATTCTCGGTGGCTTCATTAACAATTTTCGACGAGCAACGACAACAAGCATGATGGAGATCAACGGCTGCAAAGAAGATGGTCAAACGACGGCGGCGAGTTCTGGCGTTGCCGAAAGTACAGGCGGCGACGGTGACGGTTTTGGCATAGGTGGTGGTTGGTTCATGGTGTGTAGCATGGCGGCGCAGTTCCAGGAGGCGGTAATGCGGGTGATGATAGGAGACCCCATTTTTTCTCTCTTTCTGACAAACCACAAGCCTTAATTTTCACAGATATATGTACGGATACGGTAATGTATATATATACATATATGGGGAAGAAGATGAATTTGGGGAAGAAGATGGATTAAGGTCGCAAAGATGGGTTTTGGGTACTTTTTAGTCATTTTACATCATATATATATATATATATATATTTATATTTTATATAATGTGTCACTAAGGGTATTTCAATCTAATTTTATCCTAAATGCGTAAGGAAGACTTATTTGCACAAATGTCATAATTTAGGAGTATTTTTTTTTTTTTTACATGAAAGGGGTGTAATATGTACTATATACATATTTCAGAAAATATAACATTTTACGTTAGATGGTCTAAATTTGGGAGTCAACTTGTGAGAATTAATAGTTGAGGTCTCTCTCCATCTGCCTTCAGCAAATGGAGTGATTGATGAGAGTGCTGAAGTATTCAGCGAAGTTACGGTGTGATTGACGTGAGCGCTGAAGTATGCAGCGAAGTTTAAAATTCAGTACCAAACAATCCACTGAAGTGACGTGCGTGATCACTACTGATGGGAGAGGAACATTCTTTTACATATCAGTACATACTCTCCCAAACAGCTCGGGTCCACATCTCCAAACTCCAAAGGGGTTCTCTTGTCATTTCACGCAACCACTCTCCTTTTTCATTTCTTATAAAAAAAACTGTCCTTTTACATTTCGTATAATTGTACAAGTATCACGCAACTAAATTATTGGTACTATCCACAAAAGGGTAATAGAATAATAGTGGATCATCTGAGTTTTTCAACTATAAATATAGCAATTTTGGTCCAGACTAAAGACACGTATTGATATATATACACGCACTGATTGTATATAGAGTGAGAGAGATTGTTTGTAGCTCTCTGGTGGGATAACAATGGGGGAAGGAGAAGAAGTGAGAAACAAACAGGTGTTATTTAAAGGGTACATAAGTGGGTTCCCAAAAGAGAGTGATATGTGTATAAGCACAGATAATAGTATATGCTTGAAGGTGCCAGAAGGCTCTAATGGTGTTTTGGTGAAGAATCTCTACTTGTCGTGCGACCCTTACATGCGACTTCTAATGCAAAAGATTGAAGGCCCAAGTATCTTCACTTCCCTCACCCCTGGTTCTGTAAGTCTCTCTCTCTCTATACATATACCACATATATATATATATATATATATATATATGTATATATGTGTGTTGTGTAATATGATTTCTTACTGATTGTGTTGGCAGTGTTGAAGTTATACATATATATACATATATATATACATACATAAGAACACTGCCAACACAATCAGTAAGAAATCATATTACACAACACACATATATATATATATATATATATATATATATGAATTCAATTATATTTCAGCAACTGTACAATAATTGAATATATATTCAATTATTGGAATATTCTAGGTATATTTTAAACAATACTTTTTTATGCACATGCTAGAATATAGTAGAATGAAATCATAGTGCACCATTTTGTTTTATTTTTCTCTTTATTGTAGGTGATTACGTACATTTGGAAGAGAAATGATTGAGGAGTGGATTGATTCTTAATTAAAAAATAAAAAAGGAAAAGAGATAAAAATAAAAAAGAAATCATAGTAAACCACACCAATTGGGGAAATGATTCCTCTCTCTCTCTATATATATATTTTAATTATAGGGGTATTCATCATTTTCATTCATGAATTATGCCAAGACATATATAATTGTTTGTCAATTATGCATATTGGGCGAAATTTTTTGTATTGGGTCTGTAGTAGTTCGCCAGTCTCACCACCTCTGCTTAACGAGAACACACTAGGTAATGGAGGCTTTGCAATTTCTACACCAGTTTTACTTTGAACCATGAATAAAATATTGATAATAGGATATCTGGTATTCGCAAAGATATGAATATGTTATAGATTTTGAGTATCTAGTGCGTTAACTTTTCTCTCGCCTCTCTCTACCCTACCCCTCTGCTTCCTCCCCACTCCCTTCCATGGGAGTGGGGAGGTGTCGATCCATGCCACTCACTGATTAATACTCTCGGCATGATGTAAATATTTTGCTCGATGGGTGGTTCATGCCGTTTTTTGTTGTGTCTCCTCGCTATCATCGAGGTTTCGCTGTGAGCAGCGTCTCTCACGTTTCATTGTGAGTTTGTGTTCCCGATCTCCTGATCTGCGCCGTTTCCGTGGGTTGATGGTTGTTGGGTCGCCGAAGTTGGGTTTGTTTGTCTGCTCCTTTATGGAGCTTTTTGGAGTTTTGCGACGAGAGTGGATCTGATGCATCTGCGTTCTTTCCCGACGTCTGCCATCTCTGATGCTTGCATTGGTGTGTTTGGTCCTTTCTCCGGTGGTCGTCTGGTGGTTTTTTCAGTGGGTTCATCACTTACGTCATGGATGACGTATGGGTCTGTTTGTTTCATAGTTTTTTATTGTTGGTGGCTCGGTCCTTGGCTCTGCTGACACCTTCTTGGTTGTTGTCAAGACTGTGATCTTGACTTATGTAGGTGTTAGTTTTGCTTTGGATTTGTTTGTGTCTGTGTGTTTTGGTGTATGATCTTCTGTTCTTGCTTTGTAGATGCTGTATGACACTTGGTGTTTTTCTTGCCAAGTCAAAAAAAAAAAAAAAAAAATGGTATCTAGTGCGATAATAAAATATTGACAGATTTGAGTTTCTTTTTAGAAAAGTTGCTAAATATAATAATTTAATTGAGTAAAAAAAAATTGATGAATAGAGAGGTCTAATTAAACATATGGATATATGCATAATATATTAGCACATGCTCTATACAAATATATACTCTAATTTATTAGAGCTCCAACTTGGTTGACTCCAATCTTAAAAAAAAAATAAAAATGTAATGATACATCTTTCGAATTCAAAAGATACAACTACGAATTATGCGAGTGGAGTGATGTCACACCATCACTCACATCAGCATTATTATTCTTCGGATTCGAAATATGTATCATTACTCTAAAAGAAAATAGTAAAGGAAGTGTACACAATGTTAAAGTCATTTGATAAATATAATTTGTTTATTGCTTTTTAAGTCATAGATAGAAAGGTATGTAGATAGAGTTTAATTAATTGTGTAATCACTCAAAATATGGAACTAAAAGTGAATTTGCATGCATTTTCACTCTGATTGACATGCTGCATATTCTTAAGCTTGTATGAATGAATTTTCATGGTGAACATATTCAGGTGATAACAGGATATGGAGTAGCAAAAGTTTTGGATTCAGGACACCTTAACTTCAAGAAGGATGACTTGGTTTGGGGGACAACTGGATGGGAAGAGTACAGTCTCATTACAGTAACCGATTCCCTTTTCAAAATTGAACATACTGATGTACCCCTCTCATACTATACAGGAATTCTCGGTTAGTATCTTGCCTTTTGTCATTAATTGTAAATATATCCGAATTTAGATACGCTTTTCTCATAGTTATGTCATTAATATTTTGAACGCTACATCTAATGTTGTTCATTGTATGTTTCTCGTAGGTATGCCGGGAATGACTGCATATGTTGGTTTTTATGAGACTTGTAATCCTAAGAAAGGAGAGTATGTATTTGTCTCTGCAGCATCTGGTGCAATTGGTCAACTTGTTGGGCAGTTTGCAAAGTTGATGGGTTGCTATGTTGTTGGAAGTGCAGGAAGTAAAGAAAAGGTGAGTCTCATTTAAGTAGCATTTCGGCTTTACATAGTTAATTCCATTTGAGATAAATTACAAAACTATAACCTGTATTTTTGTTCTTTTAGTTTTCCATCCAAAATTGTCCCTTACTGATTCAATTAGAGCTTTCAATATTTAAAAAAAAAAAAAAAAAAAAAAAAAAAAAAATCTATGGATATTTTTTTAATACCAAATCTTAGCTACAATGCTAAAATGGCCAAATAGAAATCCTTTGATTTAAAATCCGTTTAACAAAATCAACCCAATAGAGACGAGTTATTCCTGTGTGTAAACTTACAAGTCTAAATCCAAGTAATAAAAGATAATTATAGAAACTAGTTTGAAATTTTCAAATGGAATAGATTATTCAAATATAGATGTTTTAGGTTCACTAAATTTGATATCTTTTATTAATTTATTTCTTGTGGGCAAAAATGAGCCGGTTAGATGTTTCGATTCTCAACTAAGCTTTTTGTTATGCTTTTATTTTGAATAAGGTTGATTTGTTGAAGAACAAATTTGGATTTCATGAGGCTTTCAATTACAAGGAAGAACATGACTTGGATGCAGCTTTGAAAAGGTAAAAAATTGAAGTTGTGGTATCAAATTGTGGCTGCATCTCTATACAAGTGGGATAATTACAGTTGATAGCAAAAGTGCTTCAAATACTGAATGCGATGACTATATTGTTGTCCATTGCCAGGTACTGTCCCGAAGGTATTGACATTTACTTTGATAATGTTGGGGGAAAGATGCTGAACGCAGTGATCCTCAACATGAGGAGCCACGGCAGGATTGCTCTCTGCGGACAGGTTTCACAATACATCCTTGATGAACCCGAAGGAGTGAAAAACGTGATCTGCCTCATCTACAGTCGAGTGCGTGTGGAGGGATTTGTAGTTTTCGATTACTTACCCCAATATTCCAAGTTCTTGGATACTATTTTGCCTTCTATCAGAGAAGGGAAAATAACATATGTGGAAGACATTGTTGAAGGCCTCGAGAGTGCTCCTGCAGCTCTAGTAGGACTTTTTAGTGGCCGCAATGTTGGGAAACAATTAGTCGTAGTTGCTCGTGAATGATTAAACCTTCTGGTGTACATCGTTTTCCCACTGATATATGCATTAATAAGTGTGAACTATGAATACAATGTAGTCCTCCTTAAATTACATTGTTTGGATCATCCCTGTTTGGGTGTGAGGGAGGTTGTATCGATGGCTCCATGTGCTGGTGGTTTCATGTACTTCGTACGTGTTTTTAAACTCTGTATTCAGGTACTTGTTTTGTTTAAGTGCATCTGCTTTCACATGCTAATGACATAGTAATAAAATGCATCTCTTCTATTTATTTCAAGTTCAAGCAAAGGCTCAAATGCTAGATCTCTCCTTTGGAGAAGAGAGATTATATCATCTGGATTTGGACTAATGGCCATTGGTTGAAAGGTCTTGATTTGATATTGTATATTTGTTTTTTATTCCACTTTGTTCAAATAATAATTTTAAATCTTCTTAATTAAGTTAGTGATGATAAAGTTACTCACTCTGATTTTTTTTGCTCCTTTAGGCACCATACTCATGATTAGCAATTAGAATGTGTAGCTAATCTTCATTTCTATTTTTTGCTCCCTCAAAATAAATTAAAAAAAAAAAAAATACTAAAAAGACCTAATTGTCAAGCAGGACCCTTGTCCTTAAGGGCCAAAGAAATTTGAGAGGCTCATTTACGCTCTCCACATCATGTATGTAAGATTGGGATAAGTCTACAGCCCCAGCGGCACAGTAGCATCATGAATATTTGCTTGGCTTTTGCATAGTTCGGTCTCAGGACCAGCTTACCACAAATCAAACCGAACACAGTTTTGGCATGCTTGCGGGTGAGGTAACTCACCCTGGGCACATTTTAGGCCACACACAATCCATCGGTCACAAAATTTTCAAGCCAATTGAAACTACAAGCCCTTCTACTCCAACCAAAGAACAGGCAAACGCACAAGCAAAGAAACTAGCCCAAAGGCTAACAGAAAAAGCCCCAAGCCCAACTAGGCCCTAATCACCAACAGAGAATGACAAAATTGTTGGGGACAGGGCAAAAGCAAGACCTAATTTTCATCAATAACAGAGCAGATTGCAGAATGTGAGCCAAGCTATAAACGAATGGCGAGGGAAATACTCCACAAAATTACAGAGTGCAAATTACAAAAATAAATGAATTCGAAAAATAAAATAACCATTAAAAATTTGTTCATAAAGAGAGAGTTTGTAATGCAACTTTTAAGCTTTCCATGTTCAAAATTATTTTATGTTATATTATTTTCTCTGTATTGTGCTCAAAAGAAAAGTTTTAGACTGAAGGAATGACGTCCTTATGTCGGATTCGTAATGATATTCGGGCCAAGCTGAGTACCATTTATAATTTATTTTTTATTTTTGAAATGTGCAACACGAATTACTTACTTTGGGCCCAAAGCAAATATCATTTTGTACCCGCGATATATCATGAGTGGAATACACCAAGAATCTGTCGCCGAGAACCGGCCGGATTAATCCAATCAATTACTTTTACATTTGATTAAAGTTACAGACACAATGATAACCAATCATTGTTCACCTATTTTACATAGGTTTTCAACGTGAGACTAGTGACACACAGTAACTTTCTTCTACTCCATGCGTTGGTTTTTTTAAGGGATAACTACCTATACATAGGTTTAAGGGCCAAATACTACATTACAATGAGGTTAAAGTCTTGAAACAACTAAAAAAAAAAAAAAAATGGAAGGAGAACACCAATTATTTAAAAAACATGAAGGATCACATAAACTATTTAAACAAAAAAAAACTTAATTTCTACTTTGAACCACACAACAAACTATATTACTATATTGACTCAAAACAATATACTATTATAACATAAAAACCTTAGAACATGAAATAAATATACGAAAAGAACATTGAACAAAATATTTAATATTTCTTGAAATATTTGATTTCTTCACAATAAATTAATATAGACTTATAGATTTCTTTAGTCAAAAGATCTTATAAATAAATTAAATTTAACGAAATAGTATAACTCTGATACTAAAATTAAATCGAACATAACCAAGATAGAAGCATGCAATATCATAGAGATAACATAGAGATAAATTTAACAATTAAATTACAGAAATGACTGCTGAACCTAAAAATGCTCTGATAACGCCTGAACATTGGCAAGAACGAGCCAACAAGCCAACAGTTTGAGTCAATTCACAGAAGAAATTGCTAAATTAAAACTATGGCTGCTTGTAGTGGTTGGATTCAAGAAATTTTTAGGATTTACCCTGTCTGGCTAAATAAAATCTATATATTTGATCTTTTTGTTGACCGAAGTCTTTTGCCCAAAAGAACTAAAAATACTAAATACGGAAAAAGAATTTTTGGAATAGGAGCAAATTGGATAATTTATTTCATGAAAACTATATACATGGACATACATTGTTTATACACGAATACACTCTCACACAGGATTTTACAAAAGGAAACACACTAAAAGAAATCACAAAAGAAAACACACTAGGAAGCTAAGGCTGAAGGCTAGAATGCTTGATGGAAGCTAAAACTTGGTGGCTCTAAACTCGATGATCTTCTCTTAAGTTAAAAACTTCCTTTTATAGAGTGATCTGAGGGATGAATCAACGCTTGAGATTGCAGATCGCTACTGTAATGACCCGGTCATTTTCTTTTCTTTCCTTTTCTCAGATTTTCACGGATATATATATATATTTTCGTTATCTTTTCTTTCTGTGTTTGGTTTTTCGTCACTTGATGTTATCTTGAGTGCTCGGGGATGGTTTCCGAGACTCTTTTCCTTGGATTGACGACTTTCTTTGAGAATCGAGTCATTTTCATATTTTTACTTTTGTGACACTATTCACTTTTCGTCTTTCTTTTGGTTGTCACTTTGTTAGCATAACCTCACTTTTCGTGTTTGGATTTGATTCCGGTTTTGCCTGCATTCATGATATTTAAATTTCATACTATGTGTATTTTTACTTTTGTAGAAAAGCATGCTAATTGTTTATTTTTCTTGTAAAGGGTATAGAAGCATAACCTTTTAGTAATATTCTAAACTTTTGAGGTTTTTGTGTAATTACTGTAAAGTAATTATTTTTTGTCTTAAGGGACCATTTTGCAATTTAATTTGGAAGATATTTTCAAAAAGGACCTTTTTGCAATTTTCAGAAAGTGTGACAAGTGTCACACTCTCATTGGTCCACTTGTTGACATTTGTCTGAAAACACTTTGAGACCTTGGATGAGGACATGTGGAGGGTAGAGATTTAACCACTTGTTGACCTAGGATAGGTGCACTTGTTGGCTTGGATGGTTGATAAGTGTAGGCTTGGGATTAAGCCTACAATGGATGCTTGGATGAGTGACAAATGTATGCTCCAAATTAAGTCTTGCAATTACTTTTTGGGCCACTTTGGGATTATAGTTTTAAAGAAGGATTTTTGTGCAATTGACCATAGATGTGTGTGTTGACCATGGTGTAGGATCACCTAGTGAGTGGAGGATTTCTAATTCCTCCACTCACACTTTTTCACATTATGTCATTAGCTTCCTCACCACAAACCCTAGCCTCTATGGATGGAGCTTAAAGCTTAAAGCTTTGACCTTGATTTTTGGGAGCCTTCTATTGATTTCCAAGCTTAACCATGGGAATACTTTTTGTTCCCCTCATCCTTCTCTTCATAACCCTTGAAAGGTTTGCCATTTTGTGTTGATTTGCCTTGGATTCTAGAGAGACACTTCTCTAGTGAGGTAGGGGGTGTTAGAATTTATTTTTCAAGTTGTTTTACTTGCTCTTATATGAAATATAAGTTTTATGCATGACTTTTGTTAAATTGAGAAATTAGAGATTTATTATAACTTGCATATAACTCATTTTAGACTTGGTAAATGGCATGGCCATGAGTTGATCTTTGTTATATATTAAATAGGGATGATTTAAACGAGGTTTCAAATCTAGAGATTTAAAAGAATGTAATTTGATTTAAATTCTATTTAATTGTACCTTATTTGTTTTTCATTTTTGACTTGATATATGGCTTGGCCATGACTTAGTCCTTGTTATATATTTAATTGGGATCATTTGAATAACTTTTGAAAAATTAGAGATTTAATTAATTTAAATTAATTAAAATGAACATGATGATGTCTTGCTCATTTTGCTCTTTTGATTTGACATATGCAATGAGTATGCTATGCTGTTTAACATATATTAATTTGAGGTTATATGGAATAGATTTGAAATCTAAAGACTTTCCATGATTAGGTTGAAAATCTCTTAAAATGTGGCATTGTAATTACCTTGTGAGCATGCTACTAACTTGATGTAGAATTAGTACTTATGGCTCCTTAACATGGTAATTAGACTTAGCATGATATGGTATATCATTGACTTGAATGGCTTATTTACATATATCTTATGTAGGTATATAACTTGTTAGAATATTACAATTGTTTACCTTGGAAGCTAGTTACTAAATTGAAACTTATTTAGTACTTGTGGCTTAGGATGGTAATATGGCTCAATTCTTGTAAAAATATTCTTGCTTAGTATATAAATTGCATATTGAGGACATGACTTGTCATATGCTACTTAGACTTGAATTCTAGGACCTGAATTATGTGGATTCAACCTTACTTCTGCATGAAATATGATAACTTGCATTTGATTTTGTATAAGTTTTGAACTTGTTGAATTTGGAAAGCTTGTGAGGACATAAATTATGTAATGTCTAGGGTTTGGCTTTAGTACGGAGACAAGAGTCTTCTAAGTCATAAGTGCACACTAGGTAGTACCTTGTGGGTTGTAATTACCCGAAAATACTTGCTTGGTCTAGCGACCACATGTCCTAGTCTTTCCACTATTTGATTTCGCATTTAATTTCAAGTTGTTAATCATGGATTACTTGTAGCTTGAGAATTAATGCTTACTTGGATATTTGAATCCTATTCAGTATACTTGAACTTGTAATTAATGCTTACTTGTATACTTGAATAACAGACAGAGGCGATGGGTGAGTATTTGGAAGATTATGATTTTGATTTGCAGTATCATCCGGGTAAGGCGAATGTGGTAGCAGATGCCTTAAGCCGGAAATCTCATGAAGTTTTGGCTGGGTTAGCCATTCGAAAATGGAAGATGTTGGAGGATCTGGCAGAGATGGGATTACAGTGTTGTGATGACAGTATTAGTTGTGAGACAGCTTTTCTGTTTAGTCTTGTGGTTCAACCTACTCTTGTTACATGGGTGATTGAGGCAC